GGCATATATGTTCGCAACGATCATATGTGACGACATCGAAGCGGGTATAACTTACACAACAGGAAGAACAAGAAACTTCGACTCCGACTATGTTCACATTGTAACTCCGCATTCTAGCATCTCACATGCCTTCAGCAATAATAGGTACGATCGCACTGACCATATGAGACGACTCCGAAGGACATATAACGAGAACAATTGGCAAGTGGAAATACTTTGACATCATCAGTCTTCACACTGTATCTCTGTATCCTATCATCTCACATGGATACATTTGGAGCATGGTAGTTCGCAACGATCATATGAGTTGACATCGAATCGAGTATAACGCACACAACAGGCAGAACAAGAAACTTCAACTTCAACTATGTTAACTCTGTAAATTTGCATTCCAGCATCTGATGATCGCACTGACCATATAAGACGACTTCGAAGGACATATCGTCGTTGAGATGTGAATACCTCCTATGTGACAATTTCAAAATTGTTCAGGAGAGATAAAAAACTTTTTATTTGAACTAATAGTATTCTAAATAATTGTGATTTTTTGTGTTCACTCAAATATGTCATTAGGTTACTTTAAGACAGTTTCAATATCGAATTTGTGTTTTGACTAGGACTTATTATTAAATATATATTTTTGGAGGTATTGCACATTGTGTAGATAATCACATGAGAGATATAACATTGGAGTTTTACTTGGGAGGTATCACCACTAGCTCTATTGTCGCACATAGAAGTTGTTTCTATAGCCATCACATTGATAAAATCAGAAATCGTTTTGTTCAGATTGGAATTAGAAAAGTAGACCAGAGCAAAGTGAACTTATATTTGTATATAATTATCACTCTGAAAAATGACAATATGAACAAAAAAAGTATCGATAAAAAGTTCAGTCAAATTGAACAAAAAGTGACCCATTTGCAAGATGAATTAGCTGCTGTGAAAAAGTCGATTGATAACATGGTGAAAAGAAGTAAGGATGATGCTAGTAAACTTATACAACAAAATGGAATTCTAGAGAAAAAATTAGATAACATAGACCAGGACAGATGAAAGAAAAATCTGAGAGTTTTCAATGTTAAAGAAAAAGATAAAGAAAATACCAGAGAAGAAATACTTGCACTACTGAGAACGAAACTGGCAATAAACCTCTCTACAAATGACATAGTTATATGCTACAGAATGGGAAAACAGGAAGAAGGAAGAAAACCAAGAGGGATATTTTTGAAACTCAAAGACTTCAACATGAAACAGGAGATTTACAGAAAGAAAAAATTGCTCAAAGGTACCGGTGTAGTCATACGCGAAGACCTAACACACCATAGAATTGTATTACTAGCTCATGCGGTTGAAAAAACATCTCTACAAAGTGTTTGGACCGATAGAGGCATAATATATGTAAACATTGATAACAAAATTTCAATAATAAAATCACGAGAAGAATTTGATAAACTTTTCTGAATTAAATATGTCCATTAGATCAAATACTCTGTTTGCTCATATTTCTCTATCTATTATTTATAAATAAATAAATTCTTTATTTCAGCAAGACCAATTTCACATTTTATGTATTCGCTATTATTATAATATTTAGATACTAGGTGTATACACACAATGGATTTATTCAAACTATAAATTCATGTTAGATTTTTTAGAAATTCTAGATGAAGAGGAAGAAATAAGAACAAAAATTTGTGGAAATTTACAGGAATGTTTCGAAAAAGAAGAGGAAGGATTTATAGGTATTGGTATAATACACTTCAACATACGAAGTATAAAAAAGCACTTTGATGAGTCTTATCAGAAACATGGAATATTGAAGAAGTGAGTATTTACAGTATACCAAACTACACTATTTATTATAATGACTCTAAAGTGAATCAAAACGATGGCCTCATTATTTATGTAAAAAACAGTATTATTGCAAATGCTGAAATCGTTCCTTTAGCTGAGACAAAACTACTGAGACTAACTTTTGAAACCAGTGGCGTAACAATCGGTATAACTGCTTCTTACAAGCCCCCATCTATAAACGTACAAACATATTTGGATGACTAAGAACAATTTCTCATGAATTCCAGCAAAAACTATCTTGAGATCTTCATGGGCGATATCAATATTAACTTGAAGGACATTCTCACGCAACACACAATCAGATACTCAAATATACTTGCTGAACATGGCTTCATATCATACATTAATGAACCTACTAGAATAACAGAAGGGACAAGTACTATCATTGACCATATATTTGTAAGGAAAGAAAATAGCAAAAAAAATGAATTTTCAATAAAGTCTGATATAATTCAAACTGATATGACAGATCATTATGCAATCTTACTTACGCTAAGCGTAAAACGAAAAAATAATTCAACCATGAATCGGCAAAGTGATATCATAAAAAAAATTGATTACATAAAACTAACTTCACTAATGCAACAAGAGAATTGGTCTAGTATTTTGAACTGTGACGATGTACAACTTGCATATGATCGTTTCATAAGCAAATTTAAGAAATATACAGATGAGGCAACCAAGGTTACGATATTGAATAGTAATAAAAATAGACACATCAAACCTTGGATCACCTCAGGTCTGATTAACTCTATAAAATATCGAGATTATCTCAAGAAAACTTGGAACCGAACTAAAACAACTAAGGCTGAGAATGGATATAAAAATCATAGGAACGAGCTTAATAGGCTACTAAAGCGAACTAAAAATCACTACTACAGGAATGAATTGAATAAAGCAAATGGAGACTGTAAAAAAACATGGAAAATCATCAAAGACATTTCGAATACTGATGGTGCTAGAAATAACGTCCAAAATATATCCATAATAAACGAAAATGGTGATAAAATAATCGATAACAATCAGAAAGCAAATTTGTTCAACGACTATTTCATTAGCGTTGGACAGAAAATGATGGAAAAAATTGCCAGAGGTCGTTTAAATAACGGGTTCCTCAAAGATAAATCTCCTAAATCAACTATGTTTTTGAAACCCGTCAATGAAAATGAAATAGTTATTATAATTTCGAATCTTAAAAATAACTGCTCTCCAGGTCCCGATGGTTTCTCAGCTAAGATGATAAAACATATTCATTTGCATATCATAACTCCCTTGGTTCACATAATAAACTTATCATTTCATACAGGATACCTGCCGTCTCAGTGGAAAGAATCAGTAGTAACTCCAGTGCATAAGTCAGGTAATAAAAATCAATTGAACAATTACAGACCCATATCTGTAATTAATAATTTTGCAAAAATTTTCGAACAGAGTCTGAAAACAAGACTAATATCATTTTTTGAAAGCCAGTCTATTATAACTGAACACCAATTTGGCTTTCGGAGCAAGTTGAGTACTGAAAATGCTATAATGGATCTTGTCGAAAGAGCTGTTGACTCCTTGGACAAATCGAAGAAATGTTTATCCATATTTCTCGATTTGGCCAAGGCATTTGACACAGTATCACATAATTTACTTGTTGAAAAATTATACAAATATGGTGTGCGAGATAAAACACTGAAAGTTTTGCAGAATTATTTATCTAACAGATCACAGAAAGTTAAAATTGGTGACCAACTCAGTGATCCGCAGAAAGTTACTATTGGGGTTCCACAGGGTACGGTACTTGGACCTATACTATTCCTCATTTACATAAATAGTATCTCTGAAATAAATAATTTTTGTGGTCATCTTATCTGCTATGCTGACGACACGGCTATTGTTTATACGGGAGAGACATGGCAAAACGTCTATGAACTTGCTGAAGATGGTATGCAAAAAGTAAAGACCTGGCTTGACTATAATCTATTGACTCTAAATGTAAGTAAAACAAAATTCATGACCTTCGCACTCCAAATTACTGATCAACCACAAGAGAATAAAATAAAGATAAAAAGTTCTGACTGTGACAGACACAATCCATGTACATGTGAAACAATAGATAAGACCACAACCATGAAATACTTAGGTATTATACTAGACCAGCAACTTAAATGGGATGAACATGCAAATCATATTGCAAAAAGATTGAGAAAACTTATTCACACGTTCTACAGCCTAAGAGACATCCTTGATAGAAAAAATTTAATAATATGTTATACTTCTTTGGCTGAGTCTGTGATAAGGTATTGTATAACAGCATGGGGTGGATCATTTCACGGTATATTGAACGGTTTGCAAACTGTACAAAACACTTTATTGAAAATTATATTTAAAAAAAGCAGATTACACTCAACTGAATCGTTATACAAAGAAACGGGATTGCTTAACATCAGATCTACATATACTTTCCAATGTCTAATATGGATCTACTCAAATATGGGAAAATTTCAAGAATCCAAATCCAAATTGAGTAGATTCACAACTACGCTGAAACTCCCACTGTTCCACAAGACTCGAACACAGAGATTCATTTTTTTTTACGGGCCAAAATTATATAACATGATGCCAGTGCATTTGAAAAAAATTAATAACCTACATAAATTCAAAAAAATGCTAAAAATTCACCTCACTGAAAATGCTTCGATAATCAATAATATATTTTGAACCTGAAGTAGTCAACATTAATTCACTCGGAATATCCTCTCTCTCTCTCTCTCTCTCTCTCTCTCTTTCTCTTTTTAATTGCACGTGTATATATTAGTATTCTATTCGAAACACAAACGTGATTGTTTCTTCCTCCGTCCTCTACTCATTCCATTGACCACATTCCTGTTGTCTAATACCTACTCGATGAAATGCATTCGTTTCAAATTTAGGGATTGGGCACAATACAAGCATATACTTATGCTTAGGTGTAATCCTCGTAATTTGAACGATTTTAATATCAATAATGTACAATATGTAAATTTTGTTGTTTGTTATGGAATTATGAATAAAATTGAAAATTGAAATTGAAAATTGAACATGAAATATGTGTAATGAAAAAAAAATCATAATCCTCATCGACGATGATTTGGTCTACATTTAGGATGATAACATCCTCATTTCTTTTTCTTCTGTTGATGCGGTAGCACATCATAAAAAGCATGGTGGTCCATTTCCATTACGGATTTCAGTTCCTGCAGATGTTTATATTTGTCGTCTGATATGGGTAGTTGAGTTTTGTAAAGCTGTTCCTTATAAATTTCCATTTTTTGGTTTTCACGCCGTCGTGGCATCACAGTCCATTCTTCAGAATGATCTAGTGTGAAGTAAACTTCCTTATTAGGTAAGTATTTCAGTTGTCTGATATCGACAACTACAGGATCTCTAACTCTCTTTCCTGGTCTAATCGAGTCAAAGTTGGATGGTAACTCATATTTCTTGAAAAAGGTGTAATCTAAATTTTTTATTTCATATGGATTTGTTGAACGCGCGAGTCTCATCCGCGCTAAGTAATCTGAAGGTGAAAAAATTGGTGGCGTGAAGTAATGTTCAAGGGTTGAGTGCACTGTATCCGCTGACATCATTGTTTGTCCTTTTTCCAGAAATAATTGTTGGATAGTTATATTTTTTCCTTTTGCCAAGTCGCTTAGTGCGCTGGACAGAGTTTTGTTACGATTTTGATAATTGCATCCATCTGAGATCATAGTCACAGATTTGTAATTGTTCTGGATGTTGAGAAGGTAATCAATCAAACATGAGGTGAATTCGTTACAAGTTACACCTCCATTGGCCTCATGCCAAACATATAGATTGACAGGAGCGTCATTATAAAAGTGTGTTTTTATGGGCATATATAGTGAAATTATGGACTTGAAGCTTTAATTCATAGTAACTCTGTGATGCAAGTAGTCTAGGGCATGTTAATACACTTTGAAGATCTATGCTGAAAACTAGCAGTTCGTCGTTTGCGGAATTTATGAATTTGTCTTTAGCTACCTTTGCAGGGTTTTTTTTCTGTTGATGAGCAATGTAATTTTCTTCACTCACAGTTCCGCATTTGTGTCCCACACAAGTATCGCATTGATCTTTTCGTGGCTTATGGATGGCGATTCTCTCAGCAATAAGAACAGTTTTGAAAAGTTTCAAATGGGCTGCTTTCTTTTGTTCATCAATGCACCAGTTTTTGAATATTTTGTACATGTTATTTTTAGAAATAAATTCATTGTCCACATATCTCATATTAGATGATGCTCTGCAATAATGTGATGGTACTTTCGGTATGCTGGAGAGCCATGTCATCACGGTTTCAGTAACCTGTTTTCGCTCGATAGATCTGCGAGTTTCTTGAGATTTCACTCTCTTGGTCTCAACTATTGATAACGATTGGGAAGAGGTATCAGAATTTGAAGTGGACGAGTTATGTCCAGTACTGAAATCAGTTTCTTTCATCCATCGTTTCAAACTGTCTTCGCCTAGTCCAAGCGTGTTTATAAATAGTAAACGACACACTTTTATGCGGTTTCCATTAATGGTTTTCAAGAAATAATCATGCCCTTGAGACTTTTTGAAATTTTCTTCTGCTTCTGAAATCATCTTTCGTCTCCTTCTGACAGGTCGCGTGTTAACCAAACCTCTAACAAAAACTTTCTTCTCGCCCCATGATCCTAGTTTCCAGAAAGATGAAAACATATTTTTTCTATCTTCTTGGGAAATCGAGGAACACAAGAAACTGTTTTTCAATTCTTTCTTGGGTTGTCGATGAGAACATCTCTCTTTTTTTTTATGGCTCTCAGAGTTTCATGTGTCACAATCTGCTCCCTACTTCTCTCGTAACCCGTATATTGTTTGCCGCGTAGTCTATTTTTCTTAGTCAGATTTCTTCTTTCAGTTATGCTCAGCTTTTTTGGTCTCGTTTCTGGTATATAATTGTCTACTTCTTCTGACCCTTCTGCTATGAGGTCATTTGCGTTTTCTTCCATGGGTGTTTCTTTGTCTAGTTCCTCTGATGCTTCTGCTATGGTTTCATATATGTTATCTTCTATTGATCTCTCTTCGTCTATTTCTTCTGACGCTTCTGTTATGATTTCATCTACGTTATCTTCTATTGTTCTTTTTTGAGTAGACATCGAATCGAGTATGAAGCACACAACAGACAGAACAAGAAACCTTGATTTCGACCATGTTTGCTCTGTAACTTTGCATTCTAGAATCTGACGATCGCACTGACCATATGGGACAACTTTGAAGGACTTATAACGAGAACAATAGGCAAGTGGAGATACTTTGACAACATCAGTCAGCACACTGTATCACTGTATTCTATCATCCCACATAGATACCTCTGGAGCATATAAGTTCGCATTGTTCATATGAGACGACATAGAAGCGGGTATAACGCACACAACAGGCAGAACAAGAAACTTCGACTTCGACTATGTTTACTTTGTTACTTTGCATTCTAGCATCTCAAATGCCCATTCAAGCAGTATACATGACAGCTCATCATGCAAGTGGAGTACTATACTTTTCCATATCAACCAAAAACTTCGATTTCAACAGTCGGTAAACCGGCGTGTTCGCCAAAACTTCGATTTTATCAATCTTGATAATAAGTCGGATATACATCTTATAGGTAGACATTGTCTAGTGTTTCCTGAATCAAAATAACGCTTATAACAGGAAGACCAAGAAACTCCGACTTCGACTACGTTTACACTGTAACTTCGCATTCTAGCATCTGACATGCCTACAATAATTGCAGATACGATCGCACTGACTATATAGGACGATTTCGAAAAACATACAACGAGAAGAATAGGCAAGTGAAGAGACTTCGACAACATCAGTCCGCATAACGAATCTCTGTATTCTATCATCTCACATAGATACCTCTGGAGCATATATGTTCGCAACGATCACATAAGACGACATCGAAGCCGGTGTAACGCACACAACAGGCAGAACAAGAAACTCCGACTTCGAATATGTTTTCACTGTAACTTAGCATTCCAGCATCTGACATGCCTGAAGCTATAGCAGATACGATCGCACTGACCAAATAAGACGACTTCGAAGGACATGTAACGAGAACAATAGGCAAGTGGAGATAGTTCGACAACATCATATGAGTTGACATCGAATCGGGTATAACGCACACAACAGGCAGAACAAGAGGCTTTGACTTCGACTATGTTCACTCTGTAACTTAGCATTCTAGCATCTGACGATCGCACTGACCATATAAGACGACTTTGAAGGACTTATAACGAGAACGATGGGCAAGTTGAGATACTTCGACAACATCAGCACTGTATTCCTGTATTCTATCATCTCACATGGATACCTCTGGAGCATATCAGTTAGCAACGATCATATGAAATGACATCAAAACGGGTATAACGAATACAACAGGGAGAACAAGAAACTTCGCATCGACTATGTTCACACTGTGGCTCTGAATTCTAGCATCTGACATGCCTATAGTTGAAACATATACGATCGCACTGACCATAAAGAAAGACTGTGAAGGACATATAACGACATTTATTGGCAAGTGAGGATACTTCGACAACATCAGTCTGCACACTGTATCTCTGTATTCTATCATCTCACATGGATAGCTCCGAAGCATATCAGGTCGCAACGATTATATAAGACGACATCGAAGCGGATATAACTCACACAATAGGCAGAATAAAAAAATTCGACTCCGTATATGTTCACACTGTAACTTCACATTCTAGAATCTGACATGCCTACAGCTATAGTAGATACGATCGCACTGACCATATAAGATGACTTCGAAGGACATATAACGAGTACAATAGGCAAGTGTGGATACTTCGACAACATCAGTCTGCACACTGTATCTCTGTATTCTGTATCACCTCACATGAATTTCTGTGGAGCATATAAGTTCGCATCGATCGTATGAGACGACATCAAAACGGGTATAACGCACACAACAGGCAGAACAAGAAACTCCGACTTCGACTATGTAAACACTGTAACTTTGCATTCTAGCATCTGATATGCCTACAGTTATAGCAGATTCGATTGCACTGACCATATAGGACGACTTCGAAGGACATATAACGAGAACAATAGGTAAGTGAGATACTTCGACAACATCAGCCTGCACACTGTATCTCTGTATTCTATCATCTCATATAAATACCTGTGGAGCATAGAATTTCGCAACGATCATATGAGACGACATCGAGACGGGTAAATCGCACACAACAGGCAGAACGAGAAACTTCGACTTCGACTATGTTTACTTCGCAACTTTGCATTCTAGCATCTCAAATGCCCATTCGAGGAGTATATATGACAGCTCATTAAATGCGAGTGTAGTACTATACTTTTTCATATCTACTCAAAACTTCGATCCCAACAATCAAGAGTCGGTAAACCGGCGTGTTCGCCAAAACTTCGAATTTATCAATCTTGATGATAAGTCGGTTATACATCTTATAGGTAGACATAGTCTAGTGTATCCTGGATCAAGATAGCGCTTACAACAGGAAGAACAAGAAACTTTGGCTTCGACTATGTTCACACCGTTACTTCGCATTCTAGCATCTCTGTATTCTTTCATCTCACATAGATACCTCTAGAGAATTAGAATTCGAAACGATCATATGAGACGACATCGAAGCACGCATAACGCACACAACAGGCAGAACGAGAAACTCCGACTTCGACTATGTTTACTTTGTAACTTTGCATTCTATGATCTGCCATGTCTACAACAATAGCAGGTACGATCGCACTGACCATATAAGACGACTCCGAAGGACAAATAACGAGAACACTCTGAAAGTGAAGTTACTTTGACAACATCAGTCTGCACACTGTATCTCTGTATTCTATCAACTCACATTCATACCTTTGGAGCATGGTAGTACGCAACGATCATATGAGTAGACATCGAATCGAGTATAACGCACACAACAGACAGAACGAGACACCTTGATTTCGACCATGTTTACTCTGTAACCTCGCATTCTAGAATCTGACGATCGCACTGACCATATGGTACGACTTTGAAGGACTCATCACGAGAACAATAGGCAAGTGAAGATACTCTGACGACATCAGTCTGCACACTGTATCTCTGTATTCTATCATCTCACATGGATACCTTTGGAGCATGGTAGTTCGCAACGATCATATGAGTTGACATCGAATCGGGTATAATGCACACAACAGGCAGAAAAAGAAACTTTGACTCCGACTATGCATACACTGTTACTTTGCATTCTAGCATCTGACATGCCTGAAGCTATAGCAGATACAATCGCACTGACCAAATGAGACGACTTCGAAGGATATATAACGAGAACAATAGGCAAGTGGAGATAGTTCGACAACATCAGTCCGCACACCGTATCTCTGTATTCTATCATTTCACATGGATACCTTTGGAACATGGTAGTTCGCAACGGTCATGAGTTGACTGTAACTTTGCATTCTAGCATCTGAAATGCCTACAGTTATAGCAGATTCGATCGCACTGACCATATAGGACGACTTCGAAGGACATATAACGAGAACAATAGGCAAGTGAGATACTTCGACAACATAAGTCTGCACACTGTATGTCTGTTTCCTATCATCTCACATAGATACCTCTGGAGCATGAAAATTCGTAACGATCATATTAGCCGACATCGAAGCGGGTATAACGCACACAACAGGCAGAACAGGAAACTTCGACTTCGACTATGTTTACTTTGTAACTTTGCATTCTAGCATCTCAAATGCCCATTCAGGGAGTATATATGACAGCTCATTATATGTGAGTGGAGTACTATACTTTTTCATATCTACTGAAAACTTCGATTCCAACAATCAAGATTTGGTGAATTGGCGTGTTCGCCAAAACTTTGAATCTATCAATCTTGATAATAAGTCGGTTATACATCTTATAGGTAGACATTGTCTAGTGTATCCTGAATCAAGATAACGCTCACAACAGGAAGAACAAGAAACTTCGGCTTCGACTATGTTTACACCGTAACTCCGCATTTAAGCATCTCTGTATTATTTCATCTCACATAGATACCTCTGAAGCATATATGTTCGCAACGATCATATAAGACGACATCGGAGCGGGTATAACGCACACAACAGGCAGAACAAGAAACTTCGACTCCGACTATGTTTACACTGTAACTCCGCATTCTCGCATCTGACATGCCTACAACAATAGCAGGTACGATCGCACTGACCATATAAGACGTCTTCGAAGGACATATAACAAAAACAATAGGCGAGTGAAGATACTTTGACAACATCAGTCTGCACACTTTATCTCTGTATTGTATCAACTCACATGGATACCTTTGGACATATAACGAGAACAATAGGCAAGTGGAGATACTTCGACAACAGCAGTCTGCAAACTGTATCTTTGTGTTTCATCATCCCACATGAAGTCCTCTGGGGCATATATGTTCGCAACGGTCATATGAGACGACATCGAAGCGGGTATAACTTACACAACAGGAAGAACAAGAAACTTCGACTCCGACTATGTTCACATTGTAACTCCGCATTCTCGCATCTGACATGCCTACAACAATAGCAGGTACGATCGCACTGACCATATAAGACGACTTCGAAGGACATATAACAAAAACAATAGGCGAGTGAAGATACTTTGACAACATCAGTCTGCACAC